TATGTCCACAGACTCGTGGTTGTGATGTTGTCAAATGGTGCTGGTTTGTTGCTGTATGTCCACAGACTGGTGGTTGTGATGTTGTCAAATGGTGCTGGTTTGTTGCTGTATGTCCACAGACTCGTGGTTGTGATGTTGTCAAATGGTGCTGATGTGTTGCTGTATGTCCACAGACTCGTGGTTGTGATGTTGTCAAATGGTGCTGATGTGTTGCTGTATGTCCACAGACTCGTGGTTGTGATGTTGTCAAATGGTGCTGGTTTGTTGCTGTATGTCCACAGACTCGTGGTTGTGATGTAGTAAAATGGTGCTGATGTGTTGCTGTATGTCCACAGACTCGTGGTTGTGATGTTGTCAAATGGTGCTGGTTTGTTGCTGTATGTCCACAGACTCGTGGTTGTGATGTTGTCAGATGGTGCTGGTTTGTTGCTGTATGTCCACAGACTCGTGGTTGTGATGTTGTCAAATGGTGCTGGTGTATGAGTGCACAAAGGTCAATGACGTCAAACACACGTGCTATTGTTCCACACCTATATTTTCTGTTTTGTTCAGTTTTAGAATGTTTTTTTTTAAATCTCTAATTTATTTGAAGAAAATTGCTCTAGATCGATATGATTTGTTAGATTTCTAATTGACGTTCTGTTTGAGAGAAACAATAAACATGTTTGAAACTTTTCTTTAGCTTTTCTTTTTGTGCTTACAAACTGCCAAGTTGACAATGCAATAAGTAATGAATATATATGTAACATGTAATGAATATAGTGTTGTCATAAGTAAGATCTCTTGAGGGACATGGCCTAGTACCCCACCCCACCTCTATACCTCTATGTGTGCGTGTGTGTGTATAAGTGTGTGTGTGTATATAAGTGTGTGCCTGTGTGTGTATATAAGTGTGTGCCTGTGTGTGTGTGTCAAGAATATGAGCCTCAACGTTGATACAACTCTCCCTTTTAAAACTGCCAGATACCCCAACGTTGATACAACTCTCCCTTAAAGCTGCCACACACCGATCCATCACTGAGTGAGCTCTTATAAACATTTATATTCTTATATAACAGTCAGGGCTGGGGTGGCACAGACTGAGGACCCGGGGAGTCAGGGGAGTCAGGACCAGGAGAGTCAGGACCCAGGGGAGTCAGTACCCGGAGAGTCAGGAACAGGAGAGTCAGGACCCAGGGGAGTCAGGACCTGGAGAGTCAGGACCTGGAGAGTCAGGACCAGGAGAGTCAGGACCTGGAGAGTCAGGACCAGGAGAGTCAGGACCAGGGGAGTCAGGACGAGGAGTCAGGACCAGGGGAGTCATGACCAGGGGAGTCATGACCAGGGGAGTCATGACCAGGGGGTCAGAACCAGGGGAGTCAGGACCAGGGGAGTCAGGACCTGGAGAGTCAGGACCAGGAGAGTCAGGACCTGGAGAGTCAGGACCAGGAGAGTCAGGACCAGGGGAGTCAGGACCAGGAGAGTTAGGACCAGGAGAGTCAGGACCTGGAGAGTCAGGACCAGGAGATTCAGGATCAGGGGAGTCAGGACCAGGGGAGTCAGGACCAGGAGAGTCAGGGGAGTCAGGACCAGGAGAGTTAGGACCAGGGGAGTCAGGACCTGGAGAGTCAGGACCAGGAGAGTCAGGACCAGGGGAGTCAGGACCAGGAGAGTCAGGGGAGTCAGGACGAGGAGAGTTAGGACCAGGGGAGTCAGGACCTGAGGAGTCAGGGGAGTCAGGACCAGGAGAGTCAGGACCAGGGGAGTCAGGGGAGTCGGGACCAGGAGAGTCAGGACCTGGGGAGTCAGGAACTGGAGAGTCAGGGGAGTCAGGACCAGGAGAGTCAGGACCAGGAGAGTCAGGACCAGGGGGTCAGCACCAGGGGAGTCAGGAACAGGGGAGTCAGGGGTCAGTACCCGGAGAGTCAGGACCAGGGGAGTCAGGACCTGGAGAGTCAGGACCAGGGGAGTCAGGACGAGGAGAGTCAGGACCAGGGGAGTCAGGGGAGTCGGGATCAGGAGAGTCAGGACCAGGGGAGTCAGGAACTGGAGAGTCAGGGGAGTCAGGACCAGGAGAGTCAGGACCAGGAGATTCAGGACCAGGGGAGTCAGGACCAGGAGAGTTAGGACCAGGGGAGTCAGGGGAGTCAGGACCAGGAAAGTTAGGACCAGGGGAGTCAGGACCAGGAGATTCAGGACCAGGGGAGTCAGGACCAGGGGAGTCAGGACCAGGAGAGTCAGGACCAGGAGAGTTAGGACCAGGGGAGTCAGGACCTGGAGAGTCAGGGGAGTCAGGACCAGGAGAGTCAGGACCAGGAGAGTCAGGACCAGGGGAGTCAGGACCAGGGGAGTCAGGACCAGGAGAGTTAGGACCAGGGGAGTCAGGGGAGTCAGGACCAGGAGAGTTAGGACCAGGGGAGTCAGGACCAGGAGAGTCAGGACCAGGAGAGTTAGGACCAGGGGAGTCAGGGGAGTCAGGACCAGGAGAGTTAGGACCAGGGGAGTCAGGACCAGGGGAGTCAGGACCAGGGGAGTCAGGACCAGGAGAGTCAGGACCTGGAGAGTCAGGACCAGGGGAGTCAGGACCAGGGGAGTCAGGACCAGGAGAGTTAGGACCAGGGGAGTCAGGGGAGTCAGGACCAGGAGAGTTAGGACCAGGGGAGTCAGGACCAGGGGAGTCAGGACCAGGGGAGTCAGGACCAGGAGAGTCAGGACCAGGAGAGTCAGGACCAGGAGAGTCAGGACCTGGAGAGTCAGGACCAGGGGAGTCAGGACCAGGAGAGTCAGGACCCGGAGAATCCCACTCTGCTATTTTTTTTATTCAACCTTGGAAAATCTTTAAAACTTTTAGATAGAGTATGAGAGACAGTGTGGGATGGTGCTAGACTGCTAACACGAAAGTCTCAAGTTCGAATCCAGGTCCAAGCCAGTAGAACGTTACTGAGTCCACCCAGCTCTGATGGGTACCTAGCTTACGTTATGGTAAGTAAAGACGGTTGGGCAAAGTGCTGACCACACCTTCCCTTGATAAGCCGAGGTAAAAAAAAAACATATGAACTCTGCCTCATCTGCCCAATGGATCGCTAGGTCTAAAGAGGACGCTTCAATTTGTTGAGAGACGGTATCAACTGATCGACTCAATTAAGTCTCTTTTCATTCCATTTCCAACCAACTGCATTGTTTTAACATCGATGGTTTTGAAAGATAGTCTGGAAGAAATACTGCCTGGAAAATACCAGAGTATCAGAAATATCATAGTAAGGACTTTAAAAATTGACCTGTTAACCGCCCAAATTTTACCTATTAAAGGGGCGCAACTGCATTAAGAAATATAACTTTTCATTTTCCCAGTCTTCGACTACACACAAAAATAAATAAAGAAAACATTTAGATACAATAACCATTCATTCAAAATTCACGCTAAACTGTTTTCAAATAACTGTGAAAATTAATTAATAATGACAATTAATTAATATTTGATTGGTGCCAGGTGGCTGGTGTATATAAAACAAATGCATCAAAGATAAACAAAGCACTTCATTAGTGAGTTTAGTGCGTATTTTTCAAAGCACAAGAGTACTTACTTTTTAAGGGGGTAGGCGCCGAAAAAAAAGCAACTTTTCAAAAAAATTCATAAAAACGTTTTAATAACAATCTTTTATTTAATAATGCGCTAAAAAGTAGAAAATAAATAGTACACTACTAATTAAATAACTATAAAGAAAAGCGTGAGTTACTTTAGTATCTATTGGATACCTTTACTAATATTTAGGAAGAGACTCACGCTTTTTTATGGTAATGTAAATAGTAGTTTATAATTTATTTTCTACTTTTTAGTGCATTATTACATAAAAGCTTGTTATTAAAACGTTTTTATGCATTTTTTAAGTACTTAACATGTTTTATTTACACTAGAGTTGCATGACTAAAAACCATTACGCACCTACTGAACGCGATGACGCGTATCTAATAGCCGTGAATAGTTTGACGAGACAGCCTACTAATTTGGACAAAATATTAATTAATTCATAAAAAATTAATCAGGGAAGCCAATTAAGTCAAATTATATGTCATGTTGCATTGTCTTCATGTCTTGACCCACGTACCAACTGCGAACCGTATCTGTCTGTTAGAAGTGCCCGTAATTTCGCTCGGCCGTTTCGATCTAGACTGACGACAGACTGACGACAGAGGAAGTGAGTTAAATAAAAGAGTGTAATAAAAGCGTGTAATGATCCAAACCGGCATCTTTTGATAACCAACGAACCCAAGTGGAATCAGCGATGGATAACATTTTAAAATCTTTTATAAACAACCTGTCGTACGAGTTGCAGTAGATATTTTGAGTAACTTTAACGACAAAATGTAACAATCCCGTGCATAGAAAATATAAAAGCTATATAAAAGTAAAACTTGACCATTGTCTGCCCTCAAAAACGTCTCCAAACATAGACGACATTTCGTGTTGTGGAAAAAAACTGGCGAGATTACAACAAATGCCATTTTTAAGGAATTGTGCATTTTAAACTAAAACTGCATAACTAAATGCTCTTAAAATTTAAACAGACCGCACGAAAAGTAAAATATAACTTTTGGCAACTGTGTGCTTGTACGCATTTTCTTTCATTTTCGAAAGTTAGTTACACCATTACCTTTGACCCATAGGTAACGTCACAATGGCTGACGAAAAACTAGAAAATGTTCGCAAAGCATTGACAGATTTTCCCGACTTTCCAAAACCTGGCATCGTGTTTAAGTAGGTAATATTATAGTATGGGAGTAATGGTATAGACTCGTCAAAAGTAGACTAGAAAAATAAAATATGACTTTTGGCTACTGTGTGCTTGTACGCATTTTCTTTCATTTTCGAAAGTTAGTTACACCATTACCTTTGCCTTTGACCCATAGGTAACGTCACAATGGCTGACGAAAAACTAGAAAATGTTCGCAAAGCATTGACAGATTTTCCCGACTTTCCAAAACCTGGCATCGTGTTTAAGTAGGTAATATTATAGTATGGGAGTAATGGTATAGACTCGTCAAAAGTAGACTAGATCTATATCTAGTAGGCTAATATTTATTATTTAGGCCTACTGTAGTACTGTAGGCCTAACTGTTTGAGTTTGATCATGGGCCATCATGGGTCCAGTGAAGTGAAGTCCTGAAGTAGGCTTTTTAATGAGAATTACAGAATGATTTTTTTTTATTAAAAATGTATCAATAATAGCTTAGAACACTAGTAAACTAAGCTAATTTAGCATATTTTAACTTTCTGTGCAAAGTCATTATTACTGAAAAAAATTCCAAAGTCAGGTCAGCCTGTGGCACCCTCCACTGAACGTGACAGAAGGAAAAAAAAAACTTCACCCGTGACCTTCTTTAAAACAGAATTTGCTTTTGTTTTATTTTTATTTTTGGTAAACATGTGCTTAATCTTCTTACCCAATAAGTGATAAAAATTTGAAAATTAATTTTAATTAGGCCTACTGTTGTAAAGTAAGATAACAGCTTAATAAACACATGCTTTCTTGAGGGCGTGTGGCCCGGGTGTGGCACATTGCAATTATAACTTTATATTTCTGTGTTTTATGACTATATTTGTTCACAATCAGCATGCTAATTTTAAAATTGATAAAGGGTAAGTATACCAAGTTACAAAATCTGCAATCTATCATACTTTCAATTTAAAAAATAATAAAAACGATCATCAACGAAGAAAGCGTAAACATTCTATTTTTAGGTGTGACATAAAAAACAGTCATAAATCTAGCCAAATGATTGGATTCTTGCGCTGCACACATTTTCCCGCGCCTCGTTTTCATCAAACAAGAATATAATAAAATGGCATTATTACTTACACCCTCAAAAGCACTGTTGTCACCCTAATTATATTAAACAATTCTATTTTTATTTGATAGTAAAGATGTTATACAAATTGTATATTACAATAAAGTTATTGAAGAACGCACCTGCTTTAGTTTATTCGACTTGAAACGCAAGCTAAGTAAGCGTGACTTTCTCTCGACGGCCTCGTTAAATACAAATAAAGAAATTAGGTCAAGCTGCCATTATTAAAATGTTAATTATTCGCCCCGTAAATACATGGGCAGTTTCGAGTAAAAATCTATCCGATTACGATACAATCCTTAGTTTTAACTATCATGTACTTCATGAGAAAGAAATGATTCGATATTTTATATGGCCGCCCAAAACACGGGTGCTTCAAAACCGCGAGAACGAGATTTCACGAATCGAAAAACCTATCCTGAAGGAAGAGAGAAGACGAAGAGTGTAGAAAGTAGTAGATCTAGTCTACAAGTATCAATCAATAATATTAAATTAATAAGCTAGCGCACTAGTAAACTAAGTCAATTTAATTTAGCATATAGGCCTTTTTATTTAAATTAATTAAGTTTCTGTGCAAAGTAATTATAACTGAAAAAAAATTCCAAAATGAGGTTCAGCCCATTAAGTCTGATTATGAGTTAATGTCACTAATGAAGAAAAAAACTACTAGACCTGTGACCTGATTTCATGGGTGGATTTCTTGCTTATTTTTAAAGATTCTTCAATAAAACTTCGGCATATTAAAATATCTTATAAATGAATGTAGGTAGCTAAAAGTCAAGGGTGTTGGGAAATTGCGAGGCGCGAAAAGCTTAATTGTGAGGCGGTAAACTGCAAGGGCGCGAAAATGGTTGGTCACGTGACTTTTGTCTTGCATATTACCACAACCCGATACTTACCGCTGGGTGGTGTTAAAATGCAAAGGTATCTGCAAAAAATTTACCGCACTCGATTTACAGTGAAATTTGATGAAGACTTTAAAGACGTTTCGTTTACATTGTTAAAACTTCCAATTTTTCCGTTGCTAGACATACTGATGCTTTGTCAACTTCATCATATTTTGTGTTGACTTAGAATACCACCTTGTTCAAAAGTGCCCGAATTACAGTCGACGATAGATCAACTTCTTTCTTTTGTGTGGAAGTCAGAGGCAGCCTGATTAGAAGATCACTGTGTCCAAAACTGCTGCCACCGCAAACATATTTTGTATTGTTGCATAGAAATTTTGTATTATACCCGCCGCCTACGATTTTTTTCTAACTTGTGTGTGTGTGTCTGTAAACACGATAACTTGAGTACTGTTACAGCTAGGTTGATGAAATTTCATATATAAGTAGGCCTATTATATCAAAATCATAGATTTGTATCAAATTTTGAGCGATTTCCAATAACTGGAAGTGGAACTTTTTCTACTTTGAATTTTTAAAAAGCCTATAACTTGAGTACTATTTCAAATAGTTAAATGAAATTTCACATGTAAGTAAAAGATCTAATTCTCTGCCTTCTATCAAATTTTGAGTAGTTTCTGTTGACCGAAAGTAGTAATTTCCGATTTCTACAAAAAACTCATGTGAGTTTATGAAGTATTAATAATATTCCACACTATTATGCACATTTTATTTTGTGTTCACTTGGTGTGCAATTCTTTTTTGTACTAGATTTTATTCTAGTTTAAAAAGTTTAAGTATTTAAAATGGATTAAAAATCATGTCTATATCCCGAATTGCCATCCTATTTACTTGTCTTAATAAAACTAAAAACCATACAACACAGGTGATATATCTAGACCCACCTACAACACAGGTGATATATCTAGACCCACCTACAACACAGGTGATATATCTAGACCCACCTACATCACAGGTGATATATCTAGACCCACCTACAACACAGGTGATATATCTAGACCCACCTACAACACAGGTGATATATCTAGACCCACCTACAACACAGGTGATATATCTAGACCCACCTACAACACAGGTGATATATATAGACCCACCTATTTATTTGTCTACTCGTCCATCTGGAGAAAACAACCCACCAAAAGGATGAAACAAAAACATTTCTCAATAATATGTATCAAGCTACTTTTTCTTCTCGCAATTTACTGCCTCGCCATTTTACGTCTGGCAATTAACCAGCGCCCCTAGATTAGATCTATTTGTTGGATTCTACTCTGTCAACTCCTGTAAGTGTATTTTATTAAACAACAATTGGCTCAGTTTACTGAATACTCAGGATGTCCTGGAATTAATAAAAGGTCGACTCTGGGGAATTTGCAAATCCCAAACAACTTCATCTGCTTGATCCCAAAAATGAGTCATAACAATAACATGGAGAAATGTTTACAGAAAATACAATTTTTAAATTATATTAGCCATCTTAAATAGTGAGGATTAATTTAAATACTACACACTACAGCCTATGACCACTGTTAAATACATTCTTACATTTTTTTCAAGGTATACTATAGGCACGGCTCTTGCTCATAAAAAACCTACTCTTTTCACATAAGCATAAAGATTTTTTGGTGTACTAGAATGGTAATTCTCAAAATTTGCAATTGGATATTCGAATACCACAACCAGAAATGTAATAATAATGAGCCTGTGTAAAACTTAATAGATGAATTTGTCCCCTTGTTGAGTGTCCCCGCTGTTGTTGAGTGTCCCCCTGTTGAATGTCCCCCTCGTTGAATGTCCCCTCAATACTTCATCTTTCCCTGTTTGTAGAGACATCTTCCCCATCCTGCGCAACCCCAGCGTGTTCCGAGACCTGAATGAGCTGATCCTGCAGGCAGTGAGGGAGGTGTGTCCTGATGTGCAGTGTGTAGTGGGCCTAGACTCACGAGGGTTTCTCTTTGGCCCAATCTTGGCCCTAGAGCTCAACATACCTTTTGTACCTGCGCGCAAGAAGGGAAAACTACCTGGGGAGTTGGAGCAAGTGACATACATGTTGGAGTATGGCACAGTAAGTACTCGCTGCAGACAGTTCTGTTAGAGTCCACCCAATACTGGCATGTGACTGACACACAACACTTGTATCAGGAGGCAGTTGTCATTTGCCTGACATCTTCTCTCTGCAGGACTGTCTAGAGATCCAGAGTTGTCATTTGCCTGACATTTGCCTGACATCTTCTCTCTGCAGGACTGTCTAGAGATCCAGAGTTGTCATTTGCCTGACATTTCCCTGACATCTTCTCTCTGCAGGACTGTCTAGAGATCCAGAGTTGTCATTTGCCTGACATTTCCCTGACATCTTCTCTCTGCAGGACTGTCTAGAGATCCAACATTTGCCTGACATTTCCCTGACATCTTCTCTCTGCAGGACTGTCTAGAGATCCAGAAGAGTTCAATCAACACTGACATTTCCCTGACATCTTCTCTCTGCAGGACTGTCTAGAGATCCAGAAGAGTTCAATCAACACTGACATTTCCCTGACATCTTCTCTCTGCAGGACTGTCTAGAGATCCAGAAGAGTTCAATCAACACTGACATTTCCCTGACATCTTCTCTCTGCAGGACTGTCTAGAGATCCAGAAGAGTTCAATCAACACTGACATTTCCCTGACATCTTCTCTCTGCAGGACTGTCTAGAGATCCAGAAGAGTTCAATCAACAAAGGGCAGAAAGTTTTGATCATTGACGACCTCCTGGCCACTGGTGGTAAGTTCTGTCCTGGTCACGGTTGGTCAGGTGGTTGTCAGTCTAGGGTTGGTCAGGTGGTTGTCAGTCTAGGGTTGGTCAGGTGGTTGTCAATCTAGGGTTGGTCAGGTGGTTGTGGTCAGATGATGGTCAGTCTAGGGTTGGTCAGGTGGTTGTCAGTCTAGGGTTGGTCAGGTGGTTGTCAGTCTAGGGTTGGTCAGGTGGTTGTCAGTTTAGGGTTGGTCAGGTGGTTGTCAGTCTAGGGTTGGTCAGGTGGTTGTCAGTCTAGGGTTGGTCAGGTGGTTGTGGTCAGATGATGGTCAGTCTAGGGCTGGTCAGGTATATATATATATATATATATATATATATATATATATATATATATATATATATATATATATATATATATATATACTAGCCGTCCCGGCCAGGCCCTGCTCTGGCTTCTGTGAAAAACCTTTCTGTTAAAGACCATTACCTGTGTGTTTAGTAATCATCATAAACCCGGCATTGCCCACCTAAACCACAACCAACCAAAACAACATAACGCTAACACAATTACAAATACAAACGAAAACAAAAACCTAACAACAAACACAACCACAAACACCAATACAAACACAAAGAAAAAACAAAAAAAAAACAAAAACAAAAACCTAACAACAAACCCAACCACAAACACCAATACCAACCAATAACAACAAAAAAAAAACGAAAAAGCAAACGAAAACAAACCAAATCCAAACGCAAAACCAACCAAAAACACAAATACAAACCCAAAGAAAAAAACACAAACAAAAACGAAAAAAGAAAGAACAAAAACGAACCAAATCAAACCGCAACCACTAACGCAAACCCAACCTAAACACAAAGAAAACATAAACGCCACAGTCTAGCCAGGGGCGGAATTGCCTGTTTTAGCTTAATAAACGACTATAGTACCCCTACTTATTCATAGTCTTTTGCACTCACTTAAACGAATGCGCCTGTTTCAATTTAATGAACAATTATAATACTCCAAGCTTATTCGTAAAATACCTACAACATTTGCACTTGATCAATCCCCGCTAATTATGTAATTATTTTTTTTCCCAACACCAAAACAAAGTAATAAAAAGTAAATTCTTTTCCACTAATGCAATGCTTTTATAAAGGGAAGTAATTGTGTTTTCCTAATTTATCAAAGGGAAGTAAGTGCTGTAGGACTAAATAAAGACATAATTAGAATTTTTGTAAAAGATGATATTTTTTTAAAACTTGTGTTTAATGAACATGCCGAAAATTATTACTTTCAGTTTGATAAATGAAAATTATTTCCCAAAACTTTCAATATTAATTTTTTAACTCATAAATTTAGACCATAAGGACTTTAATTATCTAACACTTAAATCCATCGAAGTATGTCAACGACAAACAAACTTATTACATACAGAATTGAGCTTTATATATTAGATATATATATATATATATATATATATATATATATATATATATATATATATATATATATATATATGTGTGTGTGTGTTAATCTAATATGTATATATGTTTATCTAATAAAATATTATCATAAAATGTTTATAGTGTATTATGCTAATAAATTATGATTATAAAAATATACTTATAAAAAAAGTTTATAAATTATATAGGTCCTATAAATATGTTGTTTATGAAATATGTTTATAAAATTTAATTGTTTATAAAATAAAATAAAATGATCAAAATTTTAAAATGAATTCACATTTTTTGTCTTGTCTCAACACAAAGGTCACAGTTTTAGACAAGGCTGACCTTTAACCTTTTGTTTGCCAGGTACTCTGAAAGCTGCGTGTGAGCTGGTGGAGAAGATTGGTGGGGAAGTGGTCCACTGCTTGGTTGTGGTGGAGCTTGTGGCCCTACAGGGGCGACAGAAAGTCAGCAAGCCAATCAAATCTCTTATAGCTTGCACTGACTAGGCGGAGAACTGAACATTTTTTCTTTCATCAGTATTTATCAGCAATCAAAGTTTAGCAGATTTTTACTCACATTTGTTAACGAACTTTATTTTTTGGAAGCAGCTACATTTTTATCTTACCATATCAAGATCTATTGTTTGGATAACTTTTTTATATCATGTTTTTGTTATTGGTTATGGTTAGCCAAGCTGATATTTGTTGATTATCCAGTCTCAACTTTCATTTGATTTTGCATAATTTTTTAATTCTCTTTTTCTTGTTGTTTCATAATTTTTTCTCTACCAATGCATGTTTTTTTATTGCTAAATATTGTGTTGATGTGAATAGGTGAGCTGATCGCCTGAGTTTGGTGCCAGACTTGTCTGACCATGGAGGAGGTCAACCCCGGCCTGCTGCCCGGCACCAGTTTTCCTGCTGCTCTCATCTCTGGGGCAGCAGCTGGCACCGCGGTGGACGTTGTGCTCTTCCCCCTGGACACCATCAAGACGCGGCTGCAGTCCCAGGCTGGGTTCCTCAAGTCTGGCGGCTTCAGCAGGGTCTACTCTGGCCTGCTGTCCGCAGCACTTGGCTCTGCCCCAGGGGGAGCGCTGTTTTTCTGCGCCTACGAGACGTCTAAAAAAGTATTTGGTTCCTTGTCCACTGAGCGAAGGTTTGAGGTGGCCAGCCAGATGGCAGCTGCCTGCGTAGGGGAGGTCACCGCCTGTTTGGTTCGAGTCCCAGTGGAGGTTGTCAAACAGAGGGCCCAAGTTGAGAGGACTGGCTCGTCCATCTCATCACTGCGGTTCACGCTGCGCTCCGAGGGGGTGCGGGGGTTCTACCGCGGGTACCTGAGCACTGTTCTGCGTGAGATCCCCTTCTCCGTGATCCAGTTCCCCATCTGGGAGTACCTCAAGTCCAGCTGGTCCAGCCACAGCGGGCAGCCAATCACGGCCTGGCAGTCCTCACTCTGTGGGGCAGTGGCCGGGGGCACCGCCGCTGCCCTCACCACACCTCTAGACGTGGTCAAGACCAGGATCATCCTGGCAGAGAGGGGGTCAAGGGCAGCCAGCGGCAACGTTGTATCTGTGGTCAGGCAGGTGGTTGAGACACAGGGGGTCAGGGGGTTGTTTGCGGGGGTGGTACCCAGGGTCATGTGGATCTCTTTGGGTGGGTCCATCTTTCTGGGGGTCTATGAGAAGTTCAGGATTACAGTCAGTGCCTGGTCCTGGCCCTGGGTCTAGTGGGTTAGGGGTGGGGTCAGGATTAAAGTCAACTGCCTAGTGGTATTAATGTGTTAATCCAGAATTAGGTTGTGAGAAATTGTTGGATGTTTATTCCTGCTCAGCTGTCTTCCATTGAGCTAGGTCCTACAGTCACACAACTTTTGTGTGTCCTACAGTCACACAACTTTTGTGGGTCCTATAGTCACACAACTTTTGGTGTGCCCTACACTTGTTAATTTTGTTTTATCCACTGGCCATATGCTAGCTGTAAAATGTTAAAATATTTTTGTGAAAATGTTTAAAATTTTAAAAATATTTTTCTAAAATTCCTGAGCTAATGTTCTCACTCGCCATGTTAGAACTATCTTGAATATCCAGATTTTTTTTTTATCTGGGTAAAAAGTTGAATCAAAAGTCAAATATTTCAATAAGCATCAGAAATGGTCCCACTTGAGTGCACAACTTGCAGTAGGTGCATGTTGAAGAGGTAGTGAAAGTTGGTGAATCCATGAGACAAACTGCATGTACTGACGTTGTTGTAGCATGCCCTAGCTGTAGACACAATTCTTCAAGCAGACTGTGTTAGTGCGTCACCTGATGCCATTTGATGTTGTCAATAAACTCTTGAAATCAGATCAGTTGTCTTTGTTGATCATGTGCTGTGTCTAGATTCTTATATTAAAATAAACTTCTAGCTTTCAGGTGTTCAATAGCTTTTCTCTACCACAAAATTAGGAACAGGTTTGACAAATCTTATTTCATCAGACTTGTATCCTTTCATAAAAAACTTTTTCACTTTGTTAACACAACTTCCAAAAAACTTTTCCCCACACCTAGTTTCTCTTACCCTGATGCCAATTGGTGGTAAATTATTTCAAATACAATGACATTAACTATAATAGAAAACTATTCCAATTACAAAGACATTAACTATAATAGAAAATTATTTTAAAAAAATAAATAAATTCATAACTTAAACAGTCATCAGATTGTTTCTAAAAGTTCTTATCAGAATTAGCAGTATTTCTCCTACATTTGTAATGTGATTTATTTCTATTGCAATGGATTTTGCCAAGGGTGACTGCACTTTTTTCTAAATGTTTGGTCTGGCCTCAATGGTAGTCAGTACCTTGTTTATTTTAAGGGCAGCTAAGACCCCAGTTGCAGTTTTTCTTCAAGACTTTTTTCTCCCGGGGGGGGGGGGGGGGGCGGACACTGTTAAAAGTATATATTTTCTATATAAATTATATAAATTTAATTTTGGGGGGGGGGGAACCGAAGCCAGCGCCCCCCCCCCCCCTCCCCCCAGAAGAGATGCCTGGTAGAAACTCTGCCCAGTTGTGTAATGTGACACACTAAGCAAAATCTTCCCAGCTAATTTGTTAGAAATAAGTTTTTGTCTGGTACGGGAAATAACTACATAAATGAAAATGTGCTAATAATATTCCTTGTTATTCCCCCTGAATTGTTATTCCGGTTTTTTTCAACAGCTCTTAATATATAAGTAGATCTGGCTTTGTTGTTTTTCACCGGCTAGAATTCCGCAAATGTTTTTATTTTAATACCTGTCCACATTTTGAATTGTGTTAGTCGTGTTACCTCGCATGATTTGTTACAATTAATAAAATCCGCAAGAATTAAGATAAAAGTCAGATGAATGTTGTTCAATGAAACTAAATTCTGCTCCGAGGGAATCGATCAATATTTGAAATCAAGTGTTGAGTGATCGCTGCAGGTAATGACGACAGGAGAGACGGCAGGAAGGTTGCTGTAATGGTGAGCTGCAGGTAATGACGACAGGAAGGTTGCTGTAATGGTGGGCTGCAGGTAATGACGGCAGGAAGGTTGCTGTAATGGTGAGCTGCAGGTAATGACGGCAGGAAGGTTGCTGTAATGGTGGGCTGCAGGTAATGACGGCAGGAAGGTTGCTGTAATGGTGGGCTGCAGGTAATGACGACAGGAAGGTTGCTGTAATGGTGGGCTGCAGGTAATGACGGCAGGAAGGTTGCTGTAATGGTGGGCTGCAGGTAATGACGGCAGGAAGGTTGCTGTAATGGTGGGCTGCAGGTAATGACGGCAGGAAGGTTGCTGTAATGGTGGGCTGCAGGTAATGACGGCAGGAAGGTTGCTGTAATGGTGGGCTGCAGGTAATGACGATAGGAAGGTTGCTGTAATGGTGGGATACTCGTGACCGAGATTGCTAGATGTGTACTGTCTGTAACTCATTCTTTGATCAAAGCCTCCAACAGGAAACAGGTGTGGCACCTGGACACAGAGCAGGTGATCAGATGCTATAGGTGTATGGAGGTGAGCAGATGCTATAGCTGTATGGAAGTGAGCAGATGCTATAGCTGTATGGAGGTGAGCAATGCTATAGCTGTATGGAGGTGAGCAGATGCTATAGCTGTATGGAGGTGAGCAGATGCTATAGCTGTATGGAGGTGAGCAGATGCTATAGCTGTATGGAGGTGAGCAGATGCTATAGCTGTATGGAGGTGAGCAGATGCTATAGCTGTATGGAGGTGAGCAGATGCTATAGCTGTATGGAGGTGAGCAGATGCTATAGCTGTATGGAGGTGAGCAGATACTATAGCTGTATGGAGGTGAGCAGATGCTATAGCTGTATGGAGGTGAGCAGATGCTAAAGCTGTATGGAGGTGAGCAGATGCTATAGCTGTATGGAGGTGAGCAGATGCTAAAGCTGTATGGAGGTGAGCAGATGCTATAGCTGTATGGAGGTGAGCAGATGCTATAGCTGTATGGAGGTGAGCAGATGCTATAGCTGTATGGAGGTGAGCAGATGCTATAGCTGTATGGAGGTGAGCAGATGCTATAGCTGTATGGAGGTGAGCAGATGCTATAGCTGTATGGAGGTGAGCAGATGCTATAGCTGTATGGAGGTGAGCAGATGCTATAGCTGTATGGAGGTGATCAGATGCTATAGCTGTATGGAGGTGATCAGATGCTATAGCTGTATGGAGGTGAGCAGATGCTATAGCTGTATGGAGGTGAGCAGATGCTATAGCTGTATGGAGGTGAGCAGATGCTATAGCTTTATGGAGGTGAGCAGATGCTATAGCTGTATGGAGGTGAGCAGATGCTATAGCTGTATGGAGGTGAGCAGATGCTATAGCTGTATGGAGGTGAGCAGATGCTATAGCTGTATGGAGGTGAGCAGATGCTATAGCTGTATGGAGGTTAGCAGATGCTATAGCTGTATGGAGGTGAGCAGATGCTATAGCTGTATGGAGGTGAGCAGATGCTATAGCTGTATGGAGGTGAGCAGATGCTATAGCTGTATGGAGGTGAGCAGATGCTATAGCTGTATGGAGGTGAGCAGATGCTATAGCTGTATGGAGGTGAGCAGATGCTATAGCTGTATGGAGGTGAGCAGATGCTATAGCTGTATGGAGGTGAGCAGATGCTATAGCTGTATGGAGGTGAGCAGATGCTATAGCTGTATGGAGGTGAGCAGATGCTATAGCTGTATGGAGGTTAGCAGATGCTATAGCTGTATGGAGGTGAGCAGATGCTATAGCTGTATGGAGGTGAGCAGATGCTATAGCTGTATGGAGGTGAGCAGATGCTATAGCTGTATGGAGGTGAGCAGATGCTATAGCTGTATGGAGGTGATCAGATGCTATAGCTGTATGGAGGTGATCAGATGCTATAGCTGTATGGAGGTGAGCAGATGCTATAGCTGTATGGAGGTGAGCAGATGCTATAGCTGTATGGAGGTGAGCAGATGCTATAGCTTTATGGAGGTGAGCAGATGCTATAGCTGTATGGAGGTGAGCAGATGCTATAGCTGTATGGAGGTGAGCAGATGCTATAGCTGTATGGAGGTGAGCAGATGCTATAGCTGTATGGAGGTGAGCAGATGCTATAGCTGTATGGAGGTTAGCAGATGCTATAGCTGTATGGAGGTGAGCAGATGCTATAGCTGTATGGAGGTGAGCAGATGCTATAGCTGTATGGAGGTGAGCAGATGCTATAGCTGTATGGAGGTGAGCAGATGCTATAGCTGTATGGAGGTGAGCAGATGCTATAGCTGTATGGAGGTGAGCAGATGCTATAGCTGTATGGAGGTGAGCAGATGCTATAGCTGTATGGAGGTGAGCAGATGCTATAGCTGTATGGAGGTGAGCAGATGCTATAGCTGTATGGAGGTGAGCAGATGCTATAGCTGTATGGAGGTGAGCAGATGCTATAGCTGTATGGAGGTGAGCAGATGCTATAGCTGTATGGAGGTGAGCAGATGCTATAGCTGTATGGAGGTGAGCAGATGCTATAGCTGTATGGAGGTGAGCAGATGCTATAGCTGTATGGAGGTGAGCAGATGCTATAGCTGTATGGAGGTGAGCAGATGCTATAGCTGTATGGAGGTGAGCAGATGCTATAGCTGTATGGAGGTGATCAGATGCTATAGCTGTATGGAGGTGAGCAGATGCTATAGCTATATGGAGGTGAGCAGATGCTATAGCTGTATGGAGCTGAGCAGATGCTATAGCTGTATGGAGCTGAGCAGATGCTATAGCTGTATGGAGGTGAGCAGATGCTATAGCTGTATGGAGGTGAGCAGATGCTATAGCTGTATGGAGGTGAGCAGATGCTATAGCTGTATGGAGGTGAGCAGATGCTATAGCTGTATGGAGGTGAGCAGATGCTATAGCTGTATGGAGGTGAGCAGATGCTATAGCTGTATGGAGGTGAGCAGATGCTATAGCTGTATGGAGGTGAGCAGATGCTATAGCTGTATGGAGGTGAGCAGATGCTATAGCTGTATGGAGGTGAGCAGATGCTATAGCTGTATGGAGGTGATCAGATGCTATAGCTGTATGGAGGTGATCAGATGCTATAGCTGTATGGAGGTGATCAGATGCTATAGCTGTATGGAGGTGAGCAGATGCTATAGCTGTATGGAGGTGAGCAGATGCTATAGCTGTATGGAGGTGAGCAGATGCTATAGCTGTATGGAGGTGAGCAGATGCTATAGCTGTATGGAGGTGAGCAGATGCTATAGCTGTATGGAGGTGAGCAGATGCTATAGCTGTATGGAGGTGAGCAGATGCTATAGCTGTATGGAGGTGAGCAGATGCTATAGCTGTATGGAGGTGAGCAGATGCTATAGCTGTATGGAGGTGAGCAGATGCTATAGCTGTATGGAGGTGAGCAGATGCTATAGCTGTATGTAGGTAATTGACGATCACTCGTCCTGTCGCAGGTGTTCTGGTCTGTCAGCTTACCTGTAGCTTCAGCCATATTTCTAGTCTAGCTTCAGCCATATTACTGGTCTAGCTTCAGCTATACACATTACGTGAGTGTCTTGTTAACGACTCGACATGAAGTGCAGAGTTTCTTTCAGGCATCTCTTTTTACCGCCCCCCCCCCCCCCCGAACGATATGAAATTTATATAATTTATATAGAAAATATATACTTTTAAGTGTCCGCCCCCCCCCCCCCCCCCCGAAGAAAGTTTACCGCCCCCCCCCCCCTCCCCCCCCCCCCCGGAGAAAAAGGTCTGGAAGAAACACTGATGAAGTGCCCTGTTGTTCGTGTCGATAAAATCAGATCGACCAAATGTCACGTGACTTCAGTTATTGCACGGTTTCTTTAGCTTAAATAACTGACG